AGCAGGACACACGGCCACTATCAAAGGGCAGGTTTTGTTTTCAGGTGGAGCCAATGATTGGTTGGAACATCACCCTTTCACAGCTTATATGGGTGCCAGTGCCACCAGCCAAAGTAAGCTTGGAGCTGCTAGTATGTGCTCATCCACCACTAGATAACTTAAAGGAGAACTATGGGGTAAGTGTTTTCCCCATAGTTCTCCTAAGGGTCACGGGAGGACATAAACTAGCGCCCTCGCGTGACCCAAAGCTCAGTATACCGCGAGCTACAGCTCGCGGTATACTGGGACCACCGCAGCCGGGACGGATCCCGACGAGATCCACCCAGCTTCGTGAGTGACAGCTGGCTCTGCCTATCTAGAGGCAGAGCCAGCTGTACCCGCCCCCTCCCCCGTCCGTTCCGCCAGTCAGCGCTGGAGGATTGGACAGGGGAGGAAGTGATAGTCACGGCTCTCTGCAGCGACATGATCAAGAAGTGAGTGAGCGACGTTATGCGTCCGCTCACTTCACGATCTATTGAGCCGATGTGACAGTTTCATTGTCACACATCGGCTCGAACTATGAGGTGAGTGAAAATCACTCACCTCATAGTTCTCCTTTAATGGGCAGCTTATGCAAATGTTGACCATCAGTGCTCCTCCTTACAAAGACAGAGGACTAAACAACACAAACTATTAACACCCACAATCCCATCCATACCCATTGCTGATTTTCAATGCATCATGGAACATGTAGTACACTGAGGTGCATCCAATATCTAAAGGAAGTCAGTTTGGCCACCTCAATAATCCCTCCTCCAGGCAGCCTGGCATACTTCCTATGTAAGAGTGAAATTAATAATGTTGTGGCATTTTCAAAAGCTGTTTTCTGCTTAAGTAATCAAGTTAAAGAAAAATGTTCTTGTGATGTGGTTCGGAAAGGGTTTCTGAGAAAAGTTTACGGTATCTTGAAGTTCGGTTTTGAAGATGTTTTTTGCTCCAGCAGTAACTTTACACAATAACATGTATTTATATTTATTATTATTTTGTGTGAGATTTCAACAATTACCCTTTCAACCGACAAGGCAATATTTAAAGTAATATTAAACTTTTTTTGAATAATGAATCCAGATCAAACAATTAGACATTGTCCAACAAAGTATTACTTAGAATATTTGCTCAAGCACTTACAGTCATCATGTTTCCAAACAGTTGGCCCCAACTGTCTCAGCTCCTCTTCCCTGAGCTTCCTGTTCAGTGCAAGATTCACAATGTGGGGATCAGGGGCAGTGGATTTCCTTGCCTTGCTGTGTCTCTGTGTTTGTGGAGATACACACAGCTTACTAGAACACACAAGGGTGGCTCCATAGGACCGTGCATGGTAAAGGAGCCACCCTAAAATAGGACATCAGGGCCACTCTTCAGGGGATCAGCTGATTTAGCAGGAAGCAAAAAACTTGTAAACATCATGTAGCAGCATCCATTGCAAGTTATTTAATCAGCATTTGAAATAGCTTAAAAACCTTTTGACTTTAATATCACTTTAAGTGTCATGTTTCATTGTACATCAATTGACAGATGAGAAGAATGTTGAGTGTTACAATCATATCTCAATTTCCTATAACCTAAACAAGCCTAACATTTACAATGTCCTGATGATTTAGAGAGACATAACACATAATTTATTGAAGTTCTTGTTGTGGTGGTCTGTTTTGAAAATGTGCTTCTCAGACTCAGTATAATGGTTCTTGCTTCTGGGTAAATACATTAAGTGAACAAGAGCTGAATGACAAGACAGACATGCAAAAATCATGTTACAGACATAAGGTGTCTGCCTGGGGCAGAGAAAAGTCATAATTCAGATAAATGTGTCTCAGGACTTCTGTAACACCTCTGAACGAAACTAGCTTTATGAAACTGCAAGCTGGCCTTGTAAACTTTATCCAGTAGAAAACTGTACTGTGACAGCAGAAACAGAGGTAAAATATTACCATCTACATTATTACAATGTATATTATATTATATATCATGGAACATTTAAGGCTTTGAATACAGGAAATGGGATTTGTATATGTACATGATTGGATGACTGAAGTGAACAAAGCATCACCTTATTACTTTATTCATAAAAGTCTATGCATAGCTATTTTTTAAGCTTTGCATACAGTAAGGAAGGGTTAAAGCCTTGTCATGTTTTTTGTTGTTGCAGCCTGTATCCCATTTGGGAAAGTCTCCTTTACTTCCTGTCCTGTAGACTTAGCAGGACGAATGGGAAAATGTCACCAAGTGAGGACAATCCTCTTAGACAGTTGGCACCCATTACCCACCCTCTATTTTTGTTACGGTAACAGTTTTTGTAATGTTATTAGAAACAAGTGGAATAACTAAAATGTGTCTGTGAACATAACTGTCTGACTGTAAAGAATTAGTGAAGATATGATACACACCACATTCATAATACATATTTTGGTTTGTTAATTGTGAATTAAAAAAAAGTCTGTATATTTGTTTTATGGGTGTATAATATTACAATGCATTCTATTGTTTGATTACTTCCAGGGTGAATATAAATATGGAAATTGTGTTTAAAGTGTATGTCAGGGCAAAATAAAAAGAACATTTGCAGTTCATCTCTGCAATACATGCACATTTCCACATGTTTTATCCCTTTACAAAACCAGCAAGTACAGAAAAAAACCTATTAGTGTACAAGAAAAGCACTCGGCTCCTATTTTTTTGACTTGGGCTAACAGCCCTACTGTGGACCAGATGGTGTCAGCCCTGCTCAGTTGTCTTTTGCTAAACTACTCAAACCATTTCACTGTCCTCATCTTCACAACGTAAAGATCAATAGTTCTGTAGTCCAAGATAACAACTTAGTACAGATATAAAAAAAAAAAAACATTTTCAATGGCATATTTCGCATAGCAAAAGGGAGCAAATAAGAGAAGTTAACTGTTAGGGTTTACATAGAATTTTGGTATATTTAAAGGGTATTTCCACTTTTGCAGGCAAATTTGGGAAACCCTCACTATATGTTTGTTATGTGTTCCCATTCACACAAAATGCCTATTAATAAAAATAGAAAATATAGAAAAATACCTAAAATAAAATATATACAATAAAAGAATAGATGCCTGTGAGCTGATAAGAGACTGCCTGAAGGACAGTTTTTTTTTTAAAGTTAACATACAATGTCTTCAGATCTTAGGTCAGGTTTAATGCTTTGTTAGGGCAGCCAGTCCTGCTCATATAGTTTACAAGTGATAATGAAATTTGCCAGCAGATTGAAACAAAGCTACCCACAAAAACACCTAAGACAGTCAGAACTAAGCAGGATTTTTCAGTCCTGGAGTTTGCAGAAACATCAAAAAATGTAAGCTGCAATTTTAAATATTTTTTTAAAGTTATGCTATGTGATTGGAAACATTTTACAAATGTGGCTGCAAAAGTACAAATACACTTTAAAACATATTTATAAACAACTAAATTACTACTGTACAGTAGAATATAGTAGTATGCTCGAGTAAACCCAAGTTACCATAGACATTGCTGAGCTTGAACATTTATGCCGGTTAAAAGGAAATGCTGGAATTCTTATTCCAAGGCCTTTACACTTTGTTTCTCTGTCATTTGAGCTTTTGTGTAGCACGCCTTGTGCTTTTAAGATATCCCTTATCACATCAGCCTATCAACAATGTCATATGTTTAGCTGTGGTATGAAGCCATTTGAGAAGTGGTATCTCATTACCTGTACTTGGTGATCACCTGTACTTTTTCAAATCTAAACTACATTCATTGCTCATAAGCTAGTGCTTACATGGACAGATCCACAATGAGGTTCATCAAATGGCCAGTAATCTGCTGAAGTTTGTCATTAATGCCAGTCATCTGAACATTCAACTTTTATTACTTATTCAGCGCCTGCGGTGAAAAGATTCTTTAATTCTCTGAAAAGTGTAGTAGAAACGAACAATGTAGTAATAGAAAACCCCTTCAGTAATCACTGCAGGTCTTTTCAAACTTTGCTTCAAAATGTATTTAAACTTTTTAAAATATATTTGTTACTGATGGCTCAATAATGTTAAAGCTGAACACTCGGCACAAAAACCTTCATTTAAATATATCCCTCAACAGCCACAGAGGATATTTATTCATTTCTATGCACCACCTCTGCAAACCCAAATGTTACCATATAAAAGTAGCCGTGACATAATCACTCTGCTGTACATAGCTTGTGCATAGAGCAGAGCTGTGGGAGGGGCCCAGCAGGTCCACCCACTACAGGCTGCCTGTGAGAACTACAGAAGGGGGCGGAAACAAGACCAGTCACCCTGCACAAGGAGAGAAAGCAGCAGTGACTGGTCTTTATTACAGGAAGCCCCTGCACAGAGGTAAAGTACACAAGGAACCAAGATTTAAGTAAGAATACACATATTTGCTTATCCTTGAGTTCAATTGGTTGCTATGTTAAGGGACTAAGGTTCCCCTCTTAGCACGGAGAGGTCTAACCGACTGTTTTTGGAGATTCATTAGGGATTTTAAGCCTTATTCACACTGGGCTAACTGGGGGCGTACACGTCCGTGTGGCATGCACACCCATGTGGGGCCGTTTATGGGAGGGACAGGTGCTGTGCATAGCAGCCTGTCCTTCCCTATGGGATGGCGCGGCTGTACGCTGTCATATGCATACCCGAACTGCACATCCATGCGGGTCCGGGTGTCCGTATATGCTGCACGGATATGCACGCCACGAGTTAGCCCAGTGTGAATGAGGCCTCAGTGGGTTTAAGTTGTTTGGTAATCGTGACTAAATAATATTTATAAAGTAGTGACATTGACCATACATTCACTGGAGGCGAATCTTCCTGCAGGATGTGTGCTAGTTTACAGTGAATGATTTACCACCAGTGAATGTTTGGCAAATGTCACTTTCACTGCATTATAAATATGCCCCAAAGATATTTTGTATAGCCTTCATTTTTTATTGTCTCGGTGATTAATATTTGTCATTTTTGTCATAGCCTGTACGATGGCATATTGATCTTCAACCCTGGGCTGGCCCTTCACATTCACTTAATGAAGAAGCAACACGTTTTTTAAAGTACATCTCACAACCACAGGTAGGTAGGATTTGGGGAAAGGGCAAATGTTGTTGAAATAAGTAGAATATCAAGACTCAATTGATAAATTAAATTGAAGGTGTTGCTATTAGCAATCTGATTACAGCTATTTCTTTTTCTAAAACTGGCTTATATTGCTGTGAGCAAAACAGATTCAGCGGAGGCTAACAGAAAAACTAAAGCAACAGAAAGGGGAGCTGCTCTCTGTTTATATTATGTACAGCATCCATTTGCATGATTCAAGTTAGGCACTCAGAGCTGATTAGAAATACTGAAGACCTGAGCAAGGAAAATATTTTCCATGCTTTGATTTTATTGGTCATTGCAGCAAATTTAATTTGGCCTTTGTTAGGTTTAATCTTCAAGTTTGTCTTTTGTTGTCTAGTGTTGTAAATACAATAAAAAATAAATAAAATAAAAATTGTATATAT